CTTGTGTGAGCCCAATGGTGTCGAGGGTCACGGGTTCAAGGAACCATTAGGGTTCTCGATTTCAAAAATTTTCAATTCAATGCAATTCAATTTTTATATGCATATTCAATTCAATTTAATAGTTTAATGCATGTACATATATTTGATGTAATTCATGGCAATAACAAATTCACATAATTCAGCAATTATGAATATAATGCATACACAATTTATGTAGAATCTAAAATTCGAAAAGCATAAAGTTAGGTCATGCATTATGGTGAATGTTCATGCTATCAAGGCTGCAAAAATATCGAGATAAAAACCATTGTTTTGAAAGAACTTGATTGCATGATGATATGAATGAACTGGTTTGATGCAGAAAAAGCTTTGTCAGATTCCTAAGCGCAAAGGTAGGCGCATGCTGATAATGTGTTGTAGCCTATTTTATCTGACAAGAAGAAAAGGGTTGGTGGCAAGGGTAGAAAGAGAAAGGAGATATGTATTTGTAGAATCATAGGGGAATTGTGTGTTGAGGATATGACACCCCCTAGGAAATAATAACTAAAATCAAATATAATGTAGGATTTACATAATCACACTTAAATTAGGAAAGTTCACAACATTCGTGAATTTATTAATCTATTTTGCTTATAAACCTTCAGTCTAGTACAAAAAATCTAATGGACCTTCAATTTTCTCCCATTTATTATATTATTTTTAACCAAATTTCTTTCATATGGCTTAAAGTCCCCTCCTAACCTTGATTTCTTACTCCGAACTGAACACAATTTTGTAAAAAATAGCTAGTTGCATATGCAATTTGGATTATATGAATTGGTAAAAAATAGCTAGTTGCATAAGCAAAATGGTAAATGTAGAATTGTTTACTAAACATGTTGATTCAATCCTAAAATGTTTTCTGACCAATCAATTTTTTTTCCAGCGATGGACCGATCAATTTTCCCAGCAATGGACCGATCAAAATTTCGATGTAAAGGTCACTGTCCAATGGTGACTTTAAAAAAATACGTGTAAAGTGATGAATTTTCTCATTAATTCTTTAATTTTGTTGTGTGTGTAATGTGAAGAAAAATTTACATAATTTAAGATAAAAAAGTTGCACCTATTCCTATTTTTTTATGTCACTGTTGAACAATGACTTGAAAATGTTTTCGGCGACAGGAAAACTTTTTCAGCACAAATGATGGTGTTTGATGCCAATTTCCGGCACTGACGTCGGTGACCTGCTATAGGGAAAAATATATTTCTTCCAATGCTTATAATGTCTTGGCCAACAAATTAGGCATAATCTAAATATATAGTTTGGACTTGGTGGTTTTCCTTAAAATTGGTATTTTTCTTTAGGCTAAATAGCCAAAATGGTCCTTGAGATTTGCATAACTCATCACTTTGGTCTCTGAGATTGTCCACTATCCATCATTTTAATCATTCCGTTAAAAACTTTTTGGGCAATTTTCAAAGCTTTGTAACTCAATTGTTTCTTAACCAAATTCGACCCACAATATATCAAAATGAAGAAAGGAAAGTGTAAGACAAGATTATACCTATTTGGAAGCCCAATGGTTGCCGGAGATGGTCGGAAAATAGCCTCAAATGTGACTGGTACGCTAAAAAACTGGAAAACTCGCCGGAAACTGGGTAAAGCTTAAACGTACATAACTTCTTCAATAATCAACAAAATCGAGTGACTCAAAAACAAAAATTATACTTCTCGACGAGACGAAGAGAATGGTATCTTTCTCAATGGCTAACTCGCTGTGGTTTGGCCGAAAAACAGCTCAAAAGTGGCTAACTTGAAAATGATTAGCTACTTTTGAGCCATTTTCCGGTCTAACCATGGCGAGTTAGCCATCAATAAAGGTACCATTCTCTTTATCTCGTCGAGAAGTATGATTTTTGTTTTTGAATCACTCGATTTTGTTGAGTATTGAAGAAGTTATGAACGTTTGAAGTTTACCCAGTTTTTGGCAAGTTTTTCTGTTTTCTCACGGACCAGTCACCTTTGAGGCTAATTTCTGGCCATCTCCGGCAACCATTGGGTTTCCAAATATGTATAATCTTGTTCTACGCTTTTCTATCTTCATTTTGATGTATTATGGATTGACTTTGGTTAAGAAACAATTGAGTTACAAAGCTTTGGAAATTGCCCAAAGAGTTTTTAACGGAATGACCAAAATGATGGATGGTGAACAATCTCATGGACCATTTCTATTGATTTTCAATCTCAGGGACCAAAGTGATGAGTTATGCAAATCTCAAGGACCATTTTGGCTATTTAGCCTTTTCTTTAAAACCTATATTCAACTTGGTATTTAATCCTAATTCACCTCTCTTAAGTTGCTGAGTATTATTGTTTGATGATAAATCTTTTCATTTGTAAGTAATATTCTACTTTTAAAACCAAACTATCATGGCATGTCCATGGTTTGATTTAGTCCAAATTCTCACCCTTATTGTAAATATATCATTGTCTCCTTCAAATTTGGACATTCATTCTTATATATAGTTTAATAGATGGTCTCTCCACATAATAATTTCTCCCTTATACAATTCATTAAACTCATAAACTAATTAACATCATGAACTTCGGGGAAAGAAAAAAAAATTAACATCATGATCAACTAGCTTTTAATTTAATAATATTTATCATCAAAATTTGGATCATATCCTAAATCAAATCCGGGATTCCCCATTGATTAAAAAACACTAGAATCTTGATCTAAAGTTAATTGAATCTCTCAATAGAAATAAAAGATTGTTTTGCCTTTAAGAAAAAGGAACAGAATACTTCAATCGAGCTACTTCCTCTCAATAAGTTACTGCCAGGTGCATGGTAGCAGTGGTCATCAAACCACGTCCGAATGCATGACATTGACAGGCTCCAATCCATACGAATCCAAATTGCATATGCAACTAGCTATTTTTTACAACACCGTGATGGAAACTTACCAAACACTTCAAAACATACTGCATTATTTAATTTAAGTTTAGGCAAGGGGTGGACGTGACGACGTGGTGGATAAGAATTTTTTTATTTTTTTATTTTTTTCAACTCACTGTGCTTCGGTTTTGAATCCTTTGTGTTCCCGTAATTTAAATTAGTGTAGATTGATGTATCGTTTGTTAAAAACCAAAAAGTTAAGATTAGATTACTTAGTATTTTAAACAATAGAAATATAAAATCTGGTCTTTTGGTCTGGTCCATTTGTCTGAATTAGGACTATTGGCAGTTGAGTTGGCTATGAAGCCTGACTGGTTTTATTGATCCAAGGCCAGGCAAAATCAAGAATTATTTGCTAGCTGGTTTTACAATGTAATGTTCCCAAACCCAAACCCATCAAGTTTTTGAGTTTAATTTGGTTGAAATCTAAAAAAGAATATGCATTTTTATACAACACAATTCTTGGCCTCCTGCTGATTCGTATCTATGAAGGATATGCTGTCCCAATAAACCTGACAACGCAATGAGTCGCTGTGTCATGTGTGTGCGTCTTGCATGTCCACATTTGGTAGTCAATATGGCATGTTAGAGCTTATTCATATAATGGTAATTCTAAAACAAAGCCAACAGACAAAAAGAGCCTTGGTTTTTCCATTGGGTTCCTTATGATTTTGGAACGTTTTTATGCTGTATTTCGTAAACTTTGGTATGTTTATACAACGGTGTATTAAGAATTTATAGCTCAATTAGTTAAGAGCATTCTGTTAGCGTGCGTCAGTGGTCAATTATTGTAATTGTTATTTTAATTGTAATTTCCTTCTTGTTAGAGATTTCTTTGTAACCTGGCCAACTATTTTGTATGTATATATATTGCCTCCTAGAGAGAAGAATATACACAATACAATTAGGGTAATGCTATGAGACTAAATTTGTAGACAAAATTTACAAATTAAACGATATGAAAGTTGATGATTGGATTATTACTTAAGCGTTGATAAACATGTTTATTTTCTATTGATAACACATCCTTTGGTTTGCAAATTTTGTTTACAAATTTAATCTTCTTAGCATTACCTTACAATAAAACCCCAAAGATTTATCTCATTCAACTTTGTGTTTAAGGTCCCGAGTTTCCCCTTCTCCAATAAGTTTTCTTATATTTTTATTATATATACATTTATGAATGAGTAGGAGAAATTGGAATTAGAGTTTTCCCATTCTTGGTAATATAAATACCCACAATCTAAAATGAGATCATTAATTACAGTATATTGGCTTTATGATTAGGAAGGGCATCCTCGCCGAATTCCTTCCATCTAAACCTCATGACCCACAAATCTCGGCAAACTTATTCTTTTTTCTAGCCCCATTAATTGGATAAACTTTTTTAAGTGACTAGTATTCAGGAGAGCACTCCACGTATTATAATATAAGTAAAAGTACACATAAAAAACTATTATTTACTCTACTTGTATTACAACACTTGAAATACCTTTTGAATACTCGAAAAAATCTCTCCATTCATTATGCATCGTCTTCTTTAGTTCACTGATCTTGATTGGCACTGTAGTTCTCTCCTTAATTTAATCAAAGAATCATTCCCCAAAGACTCAGGAAACAACAAAACCCTAATGTCCCAACGCATAAGCCATATATATCTTGGCAATCTGCTTGTTAGCAGCTGGGACCCGAAAAATCACAAGAAACATCACTGGTTGGGTTTTCTTCACGATGCATGATAATGCCAGAAGGCCTAAGGCTTAATAATAAATTGTTAATGCAACAGAGGCGTCATTATGCACCATCCCAGCTTTAAGGATATGCATGGACTACTTTGTGATCATCTTCAACTTTACAGTATTCTTTAGTCAAATTTTCAATGAAGAGCATTTTGAGTGAGAGAAAGGTGGAAAAACACACTCATGAAGGATTTGATTTTTAATAAATAAATGTTAAAAAGATTCTTTCAAAACAAATCGGATAAATGATTCCTCTGATCATAAAGTATTCAGAAGATGGTTTATGTACTAAAAAAACTCGAATTTAAACTCCTGTGATGTACTCTGTTAGTAAATTTAGTCCAAAAATGATTTTTCCGTTAACTACCTGTTAATACATGGTAAAGTGATTTTTCTGTTAACTATCCATTAACTCTCTCTCTCCTACTTCTAAAAAATTGAACGACTCTGTCTTGGTGATCTGATTTCCTGAGATTCAATCCTTCCCCTTCCCTTCTTCCTCCATTCTTCATCTTTTTCCTCCAAATTACACTACCTATTTCTTCTTTTCCCAGAAATTCAGTCCACGTTTCAAATTTATCAGAATTCAAATTCCAAAAATTGCAGATTTCCATCCTTTTTTTCAAAAATGTTCTGACCCTTCTTCCTACTCTGCACAATTAATTTAACTACCCAAATCAATCCAATTTCTTGAACTCAATCACATTTTTTATATTAATTAATAATTTCTTTATTATTCAAACAAAGTTCAATCTAATCCCATTTGGGTCTCTGTTTTGTTTTGTTTTGTTTTTGTTTTTGTTTTTGTTTTTGTTTTTTTTGTTTTTTTTTTTTTGCAAAATTACCTAGAACAAATACAGAGTAATCCAACCGGGCCGGCCCCTACCCAGTCCGCCAAGCCGAAAGCCCAACATCCCCCCTTACTTCCGCCCAAAGCCCAGCCGGGGGAGTAGCTGCTACTGCATATGCTGCTGCGTCTTCTGCGCCGTCCTCCTCATTGTCATCATCCTCGCCGCCCTCGCCGGCGGCATCTTCTACCTCCTCTCCTTCCAAATCCCCAAATTTGAACCCGTCTCCAAACCCGACGGGACCCACCTCAACGTCCAGGCTGTCACCAGTGTCGAGGTGAGGAACCCCAACCTGAAACTCGACATCTTCTACCGCGAGGGGATCGAGATGTACGCGATCCTCGGGGATGAGAACGATGTAGGGTTGGCGTTGGGTTCAAAGCTGCTCAAAGGGTTCACGCATAGGCACCGGAACACGACGAATTTCAAGATGGATATGAGGGTGAGGAACAAAATGGTGGATTAGACGGTGGGGCGGAGGCTGGCGGCGTAGTTGAAGAGTAAGGAGATAAAGGTAGCGGTGGAGGGAAAGACGAGGATTGGGTACATGATCAAAGGGTGGAGGGTTGGGATGATGCAGATCAATGTATTAGAAAAATCACATTTGAAGTAAATTTGCTAATTGAGGACACCATAAAGTTTAAATCTGAATTTTTTTAGAACATGAATTATCTTTCAAATACCTTATAACCACGTGGATTATTTATTCGATTTGGCCTAAGATTTTTTTGTAAACTTTCTAATATTTATATTTTTGGCACAATTCGTACAAACATTATAAAATATTGTGTAAAAAATATGAGGTAACAAAATTTCTATGAAAAATCACACTCTGAAAAAGTCTTTTTATCTTTTTAATAACTTTTATCATTACCAAAGCATGCATACATTATGTGCTCCACGTGTAAATCATTGTTACTTTCGAATTTTGTAGTTGGGCCACCAGCGCACTTACTGGTTCCATATCTGGGGAGCTTCTACCGTTCTGGGCTCTTCTACCATTCTGATTTTCTTAAACGTAGCAAGTACCATATGCAAGACTTCAAGCTTTTAATCAGGTTATATATTTGTTAAAAATACAAACACTTCAGGCTTGTTAAAAAATTTGGAGTATTCTATACTCCGCAGCATCGTAAAATTTTTGGCACAATTCGGAATTATGAGAATATAATTTTTTTTGATCGAATTCTGAGAATATATTAGAGTATGGAAGCTGGAAGGTCTTGTCTATAAGAAATTTTTTAATATAGGGTGCCTCTCGAAATCTTCCAATCCATATACAGTTGGATGAAAAGACATCAGTACAGAGGAAATAAATCCCGAGGCTATTACGAACTCAGATAATATTTACTCAATATTATCAGCAGTGGAAAGAAAATCCCAGCAATTAAAGTAATACAAAATCGCACGGAAAAGTCTATGTTCTTGATTTATTTCTTTTTCATCGATTTTTTGGAAATTAACAAACAACTGAAAATGACAATCACATAAAACATAGACGAAAGATACACATACATATAAATTTCTGGTACAGTAGTACTGTAGCAGTAGAACTAATGGAATATCAAAGCTTTTCTTGTGTGCTGTGACACTTGAAATCGAAGGTATTGACACCGGTATAAACGCCATCGTCGATGTTGCTGCTAATTATTTCCCCGCTCATAAGAGTGTCCTGCTGGGTGTAGGAGAAGGGAACATCAAATGAAGCCTCGGCTGCTACATACTTCACCTTCATCCTAGTCATTGCTTGCAGAACAACTTTATACACAACCTCCCTTAGAGTCTCAGTTTCTCCAAATTGAACTGCTCCAGGAAATCCGATCTTCACCTTGCTATCGTCTGCAATTATTGGAATTTCGATATTGGTACTGCCCTTGACACCAAGAAACTTCAAAATCGACGAGACGCTAGAGTACTTCTCGTTGTTTGTGTATACGAAAGCTTCGCTTCTACGGGGTAAGATTCTTTAGTACGGACGGCCTCACCACGGCCATTTCAACCATGTGTCAGTTGTAGATCCTTGCACGATAGAGGCGAAGAGAAATGCAAGATGGCAATACTAACCGTTAAACCCGTGGATAACCATCTGAATGGAACGGATCTGAGCATGGAAGTTTGGGTATATTTTTGGATATGTGGAAAAACCGTTTATATTATTCGATTATGGTTTTGGATATGATTATATGGATTTCCAAACAGTATCTGTAACCGAATCCGACGCGAATAGTAAACAATATAATTTATATATAATATAATAGTATAATATATATATATATATATATGTATATATGTATTTGTATATCCATTATTCTCCGAACCCTTACCTTTAGAATACAAAAATTGCATTTTGTAGGAAAGTAAAATTTTGAATCAAAATCAATGCAAACTCAATGGTGCTTATGAGAAATATCAAAGACAAGCTAACATTATCAGTGTTTCAATTTTTATACTCAACATGATTCATTTATTGGATCATTTTATACATCAAATGTTTAATAATAAAATTAATATCTACCAACTTATAATGTCTCAACTGAACGAATATATTTTTTGTATTGGCGAAGATGGATATACTCGTTAACCAATGAGGAATCCATTATCCGGTGGGTATGGTTATGGATTATACTTCAAGAATAAAGGCAAAGCACCTGAAACCATGGATATGCTGGTTGTAGTAGTCCCTCTACAAGCATCTAATGTGTAGTAGTCCCTCATTCCCATTACTCTCTTCTCCACTTCAAACTTTGTGTATTGACATAGGGTTTTACTAACTTGAAGTTGATCCAAATGAGTTCACAATTGGCAACTATCCATAATGCTAGAAAAACTAAATTACAAACTAAATGATGTGTCGTCAATATGAATGAATACGTTTATCAACATTTAAGGAATAAACCAATCATCAACTTCCATGTCTTTTAGTTTCCAAAATTAGTCCCTAACATTATTGTGTGTTTGTAAGCATTGCCTAGAACTTTAGTAAATGGCAATTTATTGTCTGCAGTTGGTTACATGTAAAGACAATGTGAAATGGTCCATTATTTTGTGCAGTTGGTTACTGATTTCGTAACGCCACATTAAAAGTTAATAAAATCCTTCTTTGTTATTGATTTATCATGTATATAGAAAGATTCAAGTTTTCTTTCGTATGCAAGTTGTCCTAATGCCACATTTCTTAGTCAAATCGTTATTTGTTATTTCTCTATTTTGTATTTAAATATTCTAGTGAATAGGGTGTTAAGTTTTTATGCATGCTTCACGCGTTCGAGACTCTCCTTTCTCTTAATTATTGTAACAATTTCAAATCCTTCCCCTTCACCTAATAATAATAAAAAGAAAAATAATTTATAGCTCAATTAGTTAAGAACATTTTGTTGGTGTGAGTTAATGGTCAAGTAATTGTTTTTTTTTTTTTTTTTTTTTTTTTTGTAAAAAAAATTAAATTAAATAAACAATTGCTTGACCATTAATTGCAATGTCCTTGATAGTTGGGATTTCCTTGTTGTTAGGATTTATTTGAAACCTTAGTCAAATATGTAATTTGCATGTATGTTGCTTCCTAGAGAGATGAATATAAACAATACAATTACACTCCAATGATACAAATTTATCTCATTCGTTTGAGGTTCTGAATTCGAGTTTCTCTTCCTCCAATAGTGCTTGTATAAGATGAATAAGTTTTTTTTTTATATTGTTATTATATATACATTTATGAATGAGAAAGGGAAATTGAAATTAGGGTTTTCCATTCTTGGAGAATTTTTTTGGGGTTTCCGACACAAAAGTCACATGGTGTTCCCACCAATTGAAAATTGACATCTAAATATTCTTTTATTTTTTAATTCTTAAAAATTGAGACGGTTTGACGTTGAACTGTTGACGGAAAACAAATTAATTTAACGGAGTTGTACTTCCATCGTCGACTCTTACCGTCATTACCAATTACTCATTCTGTAAATCTTTTCATTGATTCAGAAATCACCACAAAATTTATCTACACCCAGAAAATGAATATGTGAGACCAATACTAATATTTCGTCGCATAAACTCTGTTTATTTTATGTTTTATTTAATTTTATATTTAAATTGTCTAATAAAATTTATTTCTATAAATTTTGTGTGACGAACCAATATTTCATTGCGCAAAATTGTTAAATTTGGGTGGGTGCCGAAAATGGGATTAGGGAAATTTAATTTTTTAATTTTTTTAAAACTTTGCGCGACCAATCATTTCGTTGCGCAAAACCCTGAAATTTTGGGTGGGTGCCAAAAATGGGGTGCGGAAATTTTTTAAATTTTTTTTTTTAAGACTTTGCACAACCATTCTTTTGTTGTGCAAAATCGTGTAATACCCTGAAAAATTAAAATATAAATTAGTTATATTTATGGTTATGTGGGGGAAAAAAATAATAGAGAACTCTAGAAGCTGCCAGATGGCTGCAGGGGAAAGGAAGGAAAAGACAGTGCAGGAGAGAAAAGAAGGAGGAGAAAACCACCCAAACCGAACCCTCTAGCGACCCGCGACCCGACTCGATGGCACCCAAATTTTTCTGATGCTTATCACGGTGGTTTTCTGGCGAGTTGAAGCCACTCACCACTTGAAAACACTCTCCATCGTTCCTCTACCAATTCCACCCCAAAATGGAAGAAATTTGGCTCGATTTCACGTAGAACTGCATCGGTGGGTGCAGAGGTTTTATGGTGACGATCCATCAATCCCGAAGCTAAATCTGTCAACCACTACCACCAATAGACTCCCCTAAACCTCAGAAACAAATTCCATGCTTTGGTTGGTGCGTCGGAGCTGTTTTGGAGCTGAATCAAGAACACCCAAATTTAAGGGTTTTTGACGGTTCGAGGGCGATTTGAGGTGTTTCCTGGTCAAATTGGACTTCAACCCAGGTATGAAAGTTGTTTCCCTTGGCTTGCTCTACATTTTTGTGAAATTTGGTAATTTTTGGAAATAGTTGAATTTTACAGCAACTCGGGGTGGTCGGCCGTCGTACGGCGACGGCGCATAGGCTGAGACCCTATCTGCCTTTCCTAGACTAATTTGAATACCCTGATTTCCATATGTGATGTTCAATTGACAAAATCTCATTGTATGACTATAGTTTTGATTAGGACTGCTGTCACATCCCGACCCGGGGCGGATCACTTCCCGGGCCCGCTTCCACTACCGTAGCACGATATTGTCCGCTTTGGGCTTACCATTCCCTCACGGTTTTTGTTTTTGGGAACTCACGAGCAACTTCCCAGAGGGTCACCCATCCTGGGAGTGCTTTCGCGCGCTACTCGCTTAACTTTGGAGTTCCTACGGAACCCCAAGCCAGTGAGCTCCCAAAATGCCTCGTGCTAGGTAGAGATGGAATATACATATAAGGATCAGTCCCCTGGGTGATGTGGGATGTCACAATCCACCCCCCTTAGGGGCCCGACGTCCTCGTCAGCACACACGCGGCCAGGGTTAGGCTCTGATACCAATGTCACATCCCGACCCGAGGCGGATCACTTCCCGGGCCCGCTTCCACTACCGTAGCACGATATTGTCCGCTTTGGGCTTACCATTCCCTCACAGTTTTTGTTTTTGGGAACTCACGAGCAACTTCCCAGAGGGTCACCCATCCTGGGA